ACCTCCCGGCCAAGCCAAACACAGGTGGCATGGCTCTGGAGAAGATGCCAGCAGCAGAGCAGGGCATGTTGGAGTTGGGCTGCAGCAGGCAGTTTTGGAACCAGATATTATTTCAACAGGTTTTCAACTGGACTGCCCCCAGTCTGAAAGAAAATGGATCCAATATTTTAGAAACAAACACGAAGGCACAAATCACTGCCACATTCCAAATTCTTTTGAAAGGTCCAAATCCTCCAAACTGTTAGGGTTTACCCTATAGCCTCATCTGCCCTTGTTCAGCCACGTGCTCCAGCCTCACTCCTCGCTTCACTGTGTGTGTCTCCAACAGCACCCAAAAGCTCTGCTGTGCTGGCTGCTTTCTGAACAGTGCAACTAGACACAGGAGCTGCCACTTCCAGTGACCACCAGAACGATCTTGCTTGAAGTGAAAAGACCAGACGGTGGGACTCGGGACAGCACAACACTGGAAAGAGCTAGGGTCTGCTAACAGGATTAGTGAATGTTGTCACCCATTGCCTCTCTGAAGTGGCTACCAAAAAATACTTACCAGAAAATAACCCAAGGCTGCAAAATAACACTTCTTGTTTCTTCCAGCTGTTGAATTATGGACTTGGAGGTCACTAAAATTAATCCAGCCCTGATTACAGCTGCTTCTTGTAATATTTCATAAAGTGACTGCCAATCCTGCCATGTGAATGTAAAGTGCAAATCTGAAAAGTCAAATAAAAATACATACAAACTAATGTAAGTGCAGAACACCTCCCTGCTAATGTGCAATAGCAACTACCTGGTGTACCAACATCGGCTCCAAAGAGCTGAGCAATCTGTTACTTAGGGCTTCTTCCACATGCATCACTATGGCATACTTTTTTTTCCCATTAATGCAGATTTTTGTCTATAACACTGCATTGACCTAAACATTTTGGAAACCTGTTAGTTCCTCACATCCCTCTCACCTGTCCCTGTATGGAAAAGGCTAAATCTACAAAATGGGAGAAGCCGGCTGCTCTAGCATGAGTAAAAAGGACAACTTACCTGGTATTTTGTTTTCTGTTCCCCCAGAAAACTTTTTTTACAAATTATTTTCTGGAGATGAAGGATAAACCAGACTCATGACCACCTGTAATCGCTCTCGGGATGTCCCTACACTGTACCTGAAGGTGTTCAACAGCAGTGAAGAGGGGACAATTGCACTGGTGCTGGTGCAGGCTAATAACACAGACAATGTGCAGTCCCCAGTGGGTTTGCACAGCTCGTACAGCCTCTGCCTGCACAGCCTGGCCCGTCAGGCACGCTGATTAGTGCATATACGTGGCACGCTTCCCAAAAGCTGTGGTCATGCCTGTGATGATCGCTGAATAAATGTAATCTTAAAGTTGTATCTGCTGAAGGACTAGAATTTGTAAGAAGCAATGGGAGGGTCCTGGAATCCGGCAGCAGCCTGGGAGATGCCTTCCTCTGCTGTACGAGCAGTGCACTCTGCTGTCTGGAGCTAACACTGCGCATGCTGCTCCCACACGTTTTCCAAGAGAGCACGTTCCCCACTTTTAATGTTAAGAGTAACTAACTCATCAGTTCAGGTTAAGTTTCTGTTAATTTAAAAAGCAGCCCTTTTTAAATTTGTAAACTGGGATGAAGGTTAAATACTGATGATTAAATGCTGTCTCTTCTTTCCCCATTGCTCATGGGACACTAGATCCACACAGATGAGCATCAGGTCTGGTGCTGCATCATTAAGGTTTGCAGATTCAGGTAAAATCCTCTGCAGCAAGCGGGATATCCCAGATCTTTCCCTTTTACCCTGGAAAGCCGTGAAGGGGTCTAACAGTGCTCCATACCCATCTACCTCCACCCGGCAGAAGGGGTGAAATTTCTAGTCCTGATACATTGTGAGGGAAAGGGAAGAGACAACACATTATTGCATTCCCATTTCCACAGACACTTCAGGTTCCCACATTCTCACAGACAGGCCAGAGAAATTCCACATCCTTGGTTGCCTCCTCCTACCTTGGTTGCTGTTCATGCCAGATGATGTTTTTCACACTCAGTCACACAAGCGTGTTAGGGTTGGGCATTCATCATTTAGCTTTGAGCGTGTCTTTCCCAAGCTATGGTTCAGCCATGCTATTGCAGGGTGCATTGCTCTGCATCTAGGTTCTCCAGAGATTACTGCCTCCTCTCAGGTGCTGCAGATGGAACTTCAGCACCTAACTCGTGACCTAGATCGCAGTTTTCAGGCCCATGGACTTAAGCACTTTCGTGGATTAGGCTTTCAGGAACTACTTTTGTAGTTGAGGAAGCCTTCATTGTTCAGCCAATGTGGAGAAAAAGAACTAGGAGGGTGTGAGAGGTATGTTAAATACAGATACAGGCACGCAGGAGTCCTCGTACAAGCCCGGAAATCACTGAACCGTGGACCAGCCTTCTTCATAGGAGCAGGGGGAACCTGACTGAAGCCTGCTGTTGCGATGTCTATGGCAGGGTCAGACGAGCTGTTCCCTGCTGAGAGATGAAGATATCTTTCAGGTCCATTTCATATGCTTATTGTCCAACACAAAGACATGAATGGTGAAAAATATGGTGGCTATGGGCTGTAGAAACTGATGCTGTGGACTGCATCCAATCCCTGCTCATGGACTAAAGGGATCCTACACAGAAAATCTTGGAAACAGTCAACTTTCAGAAACAGACTAGAGTTCAACTCAGATGACTGCAGCATGCTGCCAGGTGGGCCTCCACCTTGACCAGACCTCACAGCAAACTTTTTTTCATTAAAAGCAACCAGCCCTTCCACCATGCATGAAAGCCACAGGCTGAGGTTGAATCTGTACTACAGATCCAGCCTCGGCCTCTATTCAAACAATTAGGCAGACTGACAGTATCTGCTAACACAAGAGAATACTACCCTTCTACTAGCAATCTTAAGTTTTTAACATTATTTTTGCCTCCTTTTGAACCCCTCCCTTTCTGGCAGTCAGGGAACAGCACTGCCTGCATAGCTGAGCTCGATGGATACAAAGGTGTTCATTCCCCACAGTTTGAATAGTGCACCTTTCACTAATTAGCTTTTTACCAAAGTTACCTACCAAACCCAGCCCCTTCCCCTCAATGCAACACAGCTTTCCCTTTGGAAAGACTCTCCTTGTTCCCCATGCTGCACCTCCCACTAAACGTGTATGAAACACTTCCCACACTGCTCTGTGCCCTGCTTTGGGCCCGCTAGCCTGGGCTTTGGTCATCTTTTCCTACCTTTCTGCAAAAGCAAGGGAAAGGCCTCGCAACACTGCAAGTAGCGAGACAATTCCTCCTCCTG